TAAACATTGTAAATTTAAAGAACACCCTAATGAAAACGGGTTGCTTATTTTTTTTAAATTTACAATGCACTTTTAATAAAGGATTGTTTGCTTACTATGACACGATCAATTTTAAAACGTCATTGGACAATTATTTAAGTTTTTGGCCTACCTACGGTAGAATCGATTCTGGGTCGACCCAATTGATCAATTAATATATTTTATACGTCATAGTAAAGTAGGTATAGCGGAGTTCTTATTATAATTTCTTAACTTTTACCTGAACGAAGTTTTATAAGATATTCGATCGTAATGTGTTTAGATTGAAGTCCAGGATATAAAGGATATCAAATTTGACGGACAAATGCAATTAGACTTCACATAATTACCTACATTCTTACCACGCACTTCTAGAGCTTCAGTGTCCCGGTTCATGTAGCGCCATCTAGTTTAAAGTCTGAACACTAACACCGGTACTGTTGTCACAAAAAAAACATTGATATAACTCAATGCAAAAAAACCTGTTAAATTCCAGTGCGCTATTATTAGTCCCCAGCACGTCACCCAATTTAATAAATGATTAAATGCAAAAAAACCTGTTAAATTCCAGTGCGCTATTATTAGTCCCCAGCACGTCACCCAATTTAATAAATGATTAATACATATCTGAATTTTTGTCAGTAGCTTCATTTCAAAGAGTATACCAAACTTTCTTATTACGACAATTGTTAAAAGAATTGCTGTTTGGCGGTAGCACGCGTAAAGTGTGTTGAATTCGTAATTTTTTTTTTTTAACAAATACGTACTCCATTTTAGCAAATTAGACGCATAATTTATTAACAAGTTCGAAAACGTGTGTCCGACAAAAATTCTGCGGCAAATAGCTTATCTACCAATGCGAACATGTCGAATACACGATGTTTTGTTTTGCGACAAATATATAGTTAATTTTTGCACTATATACGACTTTGGCATGTTCGTAAGCATCATCATCATCATCAGCCTATCGCAGTCCACTGCTGGACATAGGCCTCTCCCATTGCACGCCACTAAGATCGATTTTGGGCTTAAGCTTACGTTTTCGGACATACATGTCGGACAAAAATTCACACGGCGCATAATCTATACAAATAAATAAAATTGGAGTGTCTGTTTGTAATATTAAAATAACCGCTTTTTACTAAAATGCATATGTATGTTTACACGATACATATGCACAAAATAACATTTTTTACAATTTTTGTCTGTCTGTCTGTCTGTTTGTTCCGGGTAACCTCTGGAGCGGCTGGACCGATTTCGACAGGACTTTCACTGGCAGATAGCTGATGACATAAGGAGTAACTTAGGCTACTTTTTTTAGACGGCGTTGCCCGCGGTTATAACAACAAACGCGGGCAACACCGCGGGTCTCAGCTAGTTTTATATAAAGAATGTGAAACATTAGTATGTATAACATTAGTGGGCATTATTGAAAGCAAAAAAAAGATGTCAATGGGGCCGATTTTGCATTATTTAATGCAAATATTCATGTACAACATTTCAGTAATGGGTTTTTCTTATTCATTAGTTACATCCACATTATTTTACATATCTCGTCTATATACGAGTATATATAAGAGATTTCCACGTATATAGTCACTCATCACGATATCTCTGGAACCATTACAGATAAAGACTTGAAATTTGGTAGGAATATTCTTTTCACCGAGTAGAGTAGTAGTAGGTCAGCTAAGAAAGGATTTTAAGAAATTTAAAAAAAAAAATGTAAATAGCAAAACAACGTTTGCAGGGTCAGCTAGTACATACATAAATCACTTTTTTAGCTTCGACTTCAAAAACGAATTGAAAAACGGTTCTTTTTTTGTTAGTTTGATTGTTTTTGAACAGAATTAAAATAAATCTTGTTTTATTGGAGAGGACAATAAAATTGGATAAAAAGATTACATCGAAAAATTACCAACGAAGTTATTTAGATGCATCTGTCATTAAAGTCGATTGTACTATTTAGAAAATATACCTACAATTTTTTTTATAAAATGATGCCTTTTTAATATTAAATAAATCTCAGTTAAACCGTATCATCCTCAAGTCAACCACAATCTAATAATCGGATGCTAACAATTACTTTTGCGTTACTTGACTTATTTACTTGTACAGCGGAGTGTAATTACTAAAAACTACAAAACCCAACCAGCCACACTAATAATGTAAAACACTACTGCAAATAGATAGCTACATTTTTTCGTCATCTATATTGTATAGCGCTTTGTATTCCCGTTTTTACCATTTCTTTATTACATAACAATACATTATTTCAATAAGAAAAACTGGCATTTTCTAAAATTAATTGTATGTTCACATTATTCGTAGTTTGTATACTTGTATTAATACAAAGACATAAAATCTCTAGGACAAGAACCTATTACTGTTTTAATACACTTTTGAGGCTTCGCAAAAGTAATGAATATTTTAGTCCTTCCAGCAACATTACTTTCGTTTTATACACATTTAATTTGTGTTCTCTATTTCGTAGTATTGGTATATAATGTAGCATTGACGTGTTTCTGGAAATTACTGATTGTGTTTTTATAGCATTGTAGTAAATGTTTTAAAAGTTATTTCTATCTTACGACTGGTATACAATGTAGAACATTTATTTTAATATTGTATTTATTGTATAGGTATTGATGGTTATATAAGTATCTTTGTTACAAACAAAACAATGCTTGCGTGTTAAAAATAACAGTTCCTCAGTTTTACTACAGATTAATAATAGTGTACGGCCAAATATTAAAATAAAAGTCGATAACCTGCAAACATGACACCATCAACTAGGCTTTGTAAATTAAAATTGAAACTCTATGATATTTATAAGGTGTGATATATTTTGGTTCGAATAGGCTTTTAGACTGTATACTAAATATTTTCTATATTAGCTAAATGTATTATGACGTCACATGTTTCTAGACATCTGTCACTTCGTACCAATACTCTAACTTACCCCACAATGTAGGAGAAAACTTTTTGACAGCTTAAATTCATGAGGTTAGTGATTCTGACTGCTAAGCCTAAAGTCGAAGGTTCGGTTTCCACTCAGTATAAAAATTGTATGCTCAGGACGATCATTGGCTCCGTATCTGCAGGTAATAATATATACTGGAAGACCATTTGTTCTATGTCTGAGTGTAATTTATCTATGTACAGATGTATGTAGAAATACATAAGTATGTTTATCAGCAGTCAAATTACCATAGTACAGGCTCTGCCTAGTTTGTGAAGTGTGAGATGTGTAAGTTTATTACTATTATTATGATGTATTTGAGTTCGCTTTGTATGAGTAAAAAATATATGTATGTTCATTAAGTAAATATCGTACTACACTGACCGTGGTCACTAATGAACTTTACACACTAAAAGTTCCTACTTTCTTCCCAAGTAGCGCCAACCATCCCAGTCTCGGGCAGTCCTCCAGAGTTGTAGTCGTTCACGAGCGGCGGCAGTCACTTTCCATCGGGTGACCCGTTTGCCTGTTTTCCCAATAGGTATATCGTAAGAAAACAGATCTGATGCACCATATTAAAAGCCTCTAATAAATTTAACACACTCTTATCTAAACAAAGAAAGTGTTATGTCAATAAAAACTATTTACCTACAATGTATGTGGTAAATAAATACACTACCTATACATGTATTTTCTCTTGTGATATAAAGGCCTTGATGGATATTCAGTCCGATTAGTTATTCTTTTATCAAAAAAAATGAATATTTATGTATTCATAGGTCGTGACACGCAACGGGTCAAGTATCACGCAAAGGGACTTGGGTTTGTTTTTTTTCCTTTTAATACCGATAATAACAACGTAGTTGCAGTAGAGTTGGAGTGTATTATGAATACATAGTCAAAAGCTTTAAATATTCATATTTTTATACTTAATTGATTTTATTACAGAAATAATTGTAAATGGGCTGATAGATGAGGTTCATAGATTTACTTTAAAATAATTACCTGTAACCCCTAGTTTTAATAGACAATGGTGCTAATTCTGTTGTTCGAAAACTCTCTAAACTAAACTAAAAATCAATAAAAATTTGTTTAGTTCCGTCAAAAAATCCTATTCTGAAAACGTAATATTTGACAGGACAAAAATTATTTTTAGTGATTTTTAGTTTAGTTTAGAGAGTTTTCGAACAACAGAATCAGCACCACTGTATTGACTGTTTGAAGTATCTTGACGTCTAAGTTTTTTTAAATACTCAAAAGATTTAAATCACACAAAGTGTCATGTAATGTTCCAAATCCATTAGAATTATTATGATTTATTTTGTATCAAATTCAATTAGATTTAGGTGTTAAATAAAATTTGTTTTTAATTGAAACATGATAGCAACGCCAATTGCTGACGGTTTGCAAAAGAATATTGTTTATATTTATTTAAGATAAATCTTAAATAAATGTATGCTCTAACTGTTGAGGAATCTATAAATATAGAGAACGCAATGGTGAAAAAAAAAGGGTTTTGTTGAAATGGCCTCTGAAAGTGGTAACTCTGTATTATCGCAATTTTAATGCATCTGGCCGCTCAAAAATATTTCGTTATTATTTTTACAAATAAAATATTTACGAACATTTACGATAAATATGACTAAAAAAACATTTATTCATTCTTATTCATTTAAATTTACAAGAAAACAATATTGCAATATTTTACATACCTAACATTAGTATAATATTTGATTTAGAGCCTCAATTTAAACCTTATTTTTCATTTGAGCCTCTGTGCTAACATCAAGTAATAAAATATAAAATACAGACTTTGTTATTTCCAATAATTGGGTGTAGAGAAAAGCCAAGTAAGCCACAAAATAAATTTATTTCCATAAATATCTAGAAACAAGGAACAACAGTTTTCGTTCTACATCATCAATGTGTCTACAACAGTGTTTAAAGCTCGCGTGAAAGCATCATGTGCATTCTAACAATAGCAGCGCAGCGTTGGGTCCGTTAGGTGTCGGTAACGCGACTACCTGCAATAACCCTCGCCCTGCAAAAACAACCGGAAAGCCTCGGCTATCTTAGGCGGTTGTTCCTCCAGTACCATGCCGCAGTCAGAGATGCTCAGCCAAGAGGTCTTAGTCGGGTCTAAGCGACCATTGAAGGTCACCGTATCGTCAACGTGTGGTGAAAGAGCACCGGTCACATTCAATACAGGAACTTTAATAGAATGTGTGTCCCTCGCAATGCTCAAATCCGATCTACGTATGTAAGAATCAATAAACATAGCCAAATTTATAGGGTTGACATGTGAGAAACTGTCTTTGTAAAACTGTGCTAGATCATGGTTGCGATCCTCGGTGCTGCGTCCAAAATGATGCCACATTAAGTAGTCAAGCGCCCCCTGGGTCATTCCACTCGATCGCAGCTGTCTTGTGTTAATTTTCTGATACAGCCATTCGGTCCAGCCAGCTTGAGTTGATGTGCAATTAATCAGCACTAGAGCATCTACCTTTTGAGGATTAACAATAGCATAGCGAGCTAAAATATTTGCTCCCGCCCCTACCCCAAATCCAATGAATGACCTTATTCCGAAATGACCTAGAATAAAGTCTATTTGAGAGGCGAGTGCATCCATACTCGGATAAGTATAATCTTCCGGTAGGGTCGGCGCGCCTTCCTCTTGGCCCGGCGCGGTTACATGGTAGATACAAAATTGTTTAAGTATCGCTCTCATATCAGCAAAGTTAAAAAATGCCTGGAAATTGGCGGCATAGTTGAGTCCAAGGTCGTGGTAAGTAATTATGGCGCGCTTATTGCGGTCCCCACGGACGGCGACCAGCAGGTCCCCGCGGGACGTCCTCACCCTCTCCTCTACGCATGCGCCATCGTTGTGCAATTGTCTATTCGATGGAAAATGTAGCTGAACACTTTTGAGCTCATCTTCCAGGTTGTCCGAGGACATCATATTGAGTAAAGCAATATTTTCGTGAACTGTCGTAGGCATTTTTTTATTGAAATGGATGGGCACTTTCATCAATGCGGGGGTTTTTCAGTTTGTGTATTATGTCTCAATACTCTTATAATCTTCAACAATAGGTTTCTTCCCTTTCAGTTAATTAACGCTTCCATTAGATACTGTTAACAATTCTGTGCTTATTACGTGCATACTCATATCACTGTAGGTATATATGTCATAGAACCTACAAGAAACTGTTTGTATATTTTAATGAGTCACTTCACACGGTCATTTTCACTTATAATATTAAAACACTTATATTATTGGGCAGTTTTATCGACAGACTATGTTATTGTAGTGGTATTATCGCAGGAAATGGTCAATAACGTGTTGACCGAGCAAGCGTTAGTTCCACCTCGAGGCTAATTCGGTACTGCTCGGCTGTTTCCGTAGCTTCTCGCATTTGCCCGTTAGAGCACTCGCACGAAGTTCAGTCTGTTCAGTCAGTTGCGAGCATAGACAAAACACTATAAATCTAAGATAGATGCGCCACTGAGGTTTCAAATTTATTAAAACGAGTGTACGCTAACGCAGAGATGGCGCTGTGTTTCTCATAGCTTGCCCGCTAGATGGAGCTAATGTATTTTCTATTTGAAGATTGACGGGTGGGGAAAGATGTGTAGTCAAATAAAACATTAAAAACAATAAATAAATATTTATTTACTCGTAATTTGCAATCATTTTCTGATCACAATTCACACAGTAATAATCTCGTATAAAATATAGTGTTAATTATCTACCTACATATAACATATATTAACTTAACACTCTGCTTTTAAAACAAAAATATTAAAATTGTTACAAACCAGCTTACTAGCTAATCAAATGGTCCTTTTTTTTTCTTTTCCACTGATCAAATTTTTCCGAATATGGGTATTCCTCAGGTGGAAAGTTATGGAGTTTTCCTGAAAGACAGTAGATTTAAAGTTCCAGCTATTATTCTAGTCATAAAGAAAATGCTTTTTCAAAATCAGTTAATCGCTCTAAAAACTCTTATATGATCAACTTATTTTTCTTTTTACTTTATTAATTGTACAAAGTTCCTTAAAGCATAGTTACGAATAAAAAAGCGGACTTTGATTTATAAAAACTGTCTAAACCCTACCTTTATAAGGAAAACATCCAAAATAACACTTTAAAGCTGATTTTCTCGGCATTTCAAAATGTCGTCGAATCCAAATCGCAAAAGCAAGCAAGTATCCAATATTCACAGTGTAGGGTCAATAGTTTACATATCACAGGGTCCAAGGGAGAAACAGGGTCAAAGTTTAAAACAGCACAAAAAAGATATTCAAAAAACCACGAAACTAGAAACAGAAAAGTTTTGAAAGTAACATACATCTGTCAGTCATTCATTAGTCATTTACGTTTCCTTTCACTCAAAAAAATGGGTAAAAATTGAAATTATTTGCATGTTTACAAAAATATTTTTCATGGTAAAAAAATAAATTAAGAATTCATAACAATTAAAAATAAGCATATTAAAGAAAGCACTTGAATAATTTAAAGTTCTCATTTTATTTTAACCAATCAAAAAGCTCCACCTATCGGCAGCTATGAATAGTTATGTTTGAGTTCATGTTTATGGAGATGGCAGAACTTTCTCTGTAATTTTTTTGTGACGAAAAATGTATGGAAGTTTCAGGGGCCTGGTTGCGAGCGGCTGCCGCACATGCGTCGTGCGGCTGTCGATTTCTTTCTCATCTACTTTGTTTATTTGGTACCTACATCTATCTATGACAATCGATACCTACCTTCAACAGAATGTCTCATAACTTAATTAATATATGCATGAAGGTTATGGAGGTGGTACTGTTTGCTTTTCAGTAAGTTCAATAACAACCGTTATATCAAGGACTTACTGTTTCATAGTTACAATGTCCTTGGAATGTAAACTCTGAATTATTAAACGAAATGCCTGTTTTCGTGGTCAATGTTACTACGCTTTATGAAATTTTGTTAACGAAACACATAATAATTACCCTTTTTTATTTAAAGGTTGTTGCTAGAACCTTAAAACCTCCTTTCTAAGGAGGGGCCTATGTCCAGCAGTGGACTAGTATAGGCTGTTGATGTGATGTGATGTGCTAGAATCTTAAATCGAAATACCTCTGTTTAAATGTCATATTTACTTGAAGAATTCTATTATTCGGCCAAATATTTTGCCTATATTTTGGCCTGTCAATTTTGACAGTTCTATATTTTGACCTGTCATTGTATAAAAAGTTTATTATTTTGTACCATGATAAGTCAAAATATTTACCGGATAATTTTACGTAACCGTTACAAAAACTTTAACTTTATTGTACATTAAGTACGTTTAAAAGAGTTTTCTGTAACTTTTCTGTATAGACACATTACATATATTGTTTGTTTAAAAAAACAATTTTTTTACGTATTGATATTTTATTATGTTATGTGACCGATAAAAATAATTTGAAAACAAGTTAGTCATGTATAAAACACATAGCTAGTATTTTTATTGGCATTAGCTTATGGAAAAGCAAACATCGTCACTTGTTTGTAAACTTTCATTCCGGTATATAACAAAGGTAATTTTTATAATGTAGTTCCTTCAACCAAAACAGCCAGCAACTGTTTTAAGTTTCCACATTTTGATCTAGATGTCACTACTAGTAGTGGAACGATAAATGTGGTGTCCCCTTAGTCCAATTGAATTTGTCTCTCAGTAAATTAGACCACAAATAAGGGTTATATGTTATAATTATGTTTAAAAACATTCGAAGCTGTTTAGGAAACTTTTTCAATTGCCAAAGTCCCGTTTTATAAGTTCAAAGATTAAAACTAGCAATGATAAGATTAAAACCACTTGGAAAATTATGAAACTGGAAAAACAATACTGCGATCATGAATTTAATCTGAATGTAGAAAATAAATTCATCACATCAAATGCTGAGGTTTCTGCCTCATTTAAGACCTTTTTTACCAATATTGCTGTATGAACTACTAAATCTTTGAACTCCTCACCATACCTTGCAGAATAAATTTTAAAAGATAATGTTGGTAGGATTGATAGTGAATTTAAGTTCCAATATGTCTCTTCCCTTGAAATTATTAATAATAATAATAAACATGTATTTGCGAATATGGGTACTATAGTAAAGTTGTTACAAAGGTAATTTTCGTTCCTTCATATTTCACCTTGTGGCATGCAAATATTTCAATATAATTTTGTTTATATTACAATTTCACTAAAATAGTTCAAACATAATCCAAACTTAATTCATGAGCCACATCTATGTAAAAATTACATTAAAAAAAAGTTAATGTCAAAATTTCTGTCAAAATAAATTACAATAATTATTATGTCAATTAAATAGTAGATCATGAGTCAAATTAACTAGATTGTAGTAAATAGAATTTAAAAAAGAAAAGCATATTGATTATATTAGATATTTGTCTTCTAAGTATTCCTTAACACTGTAGTATATTTTTTGTTGTGATATATTCTTTAATTTCAATTTAAATTTACTAATGCTATCTAAGTTGCAGACAGTTTGTTGTAAATCCTAGATGAGATGCACAATATGCTTCTATTTACAAGCCATGTTTTATTAGACATCGTGTTTATTTTATATTCATGGCAACGGCCATTTAAATGAGTGAATAAGTGCATTTTTTTTACAAACATAGCTACCTCCAATATATACATGTATGGGAGAGTGAATAAATTAAGACTTTTAAAAATTGTTTTACAGCTGTCAGTAGTCTTAAGTCTATAAATGGCTCTAATACATTGCTTTTGTACTTTAAAAACATACTCCCAGTTAGTAGAGTTTCCCCAAAAGATTATAGCATACCGCATTAATGATCCTGCATATGCATGATATGCTGTTACAACCGTAGATGTATTAGCTGTTTTTGATAACATGTACCGAGCATACGAGCTTTTAATAAGTTTGGAGCATAGATTTTCAATATGTACTTTCTAATTTAGTTTGCAATCAACATCCAGGCCAAGGAACCTCCAGCAATCATTGGTGCCATGCTGGCGGGTGAGGAGGGCTGGAGCGCAGTGGTCTCTTTCTGTGAAGCTGTAATGCTCCAGAAAGAGACCACTGAACGGAATCGGGAGAGGGCCGATCCCGAACGTAGAGGACGTCGGCGCCGATATCAGGCGTCGAAGGGGCCGCGGGCCGCCAGAGAGTGGGGACCTCTGGTGGCAGACTGATTGCTGCGGTAGGGGATGGAATGGCCGGCCTGATTTCATTAAGATGCGATCGGGCCGCCATGCCGCGATTGAAGGGGAAGTGTTCTCCCCTGGGATAGGGCCTGATTAGGCATGGTGTCGATTCGGGAAGGACCTGAAATAACATGGTCCGGGTCCTCCCCAGAGTAGGACACCTAAGGCCGGGCGTCGGGGTGGTTTTTAGTGGAATCACCACATACTCCTGGCTCCTGAGTCCCCGAGGAGCAGGAGATCCGAAGGGATTTTTCACCCCGTCAACAAAAAAAAAAGACCAAGGAACCTTGCAAAGTCAACCTCTTTTATTTGTTTACCTAAGAACTCGATTTCAAAATCCAAAGCAGGTCTAGTTCTGTTTCTAAATAGCATTACACTGGATTTTTCCAAATTAACAATTAGGTTATTGCTTGTTAGCCAATCAACTATATTTGTTAGGTTTTCGGTTATGCTGTGTTACAATTTATCATAGCAAGAATAATTGGAGAGGTAACAGCTTCTGGGAAATCGTTGATATAAATTAAAAAACAACAGGGGTCCCAAGACACTTCCCTGAGGAACACCGTATTTAATTTCTCTATACCCGGACAAAAAGGATCGTTCTTTTATCTCCATTCTACACATTCTAGTAATCATAATTGCTTGTTGTCTGTGGCTCAGATAAGAACTTAATAAGATTCAGGGCGTTACCCCTTATACCACAACTATACAACTTGTTTTTTAGGAGTTCATGGTCAACACAATCAAAAGCTTTTATAAGATCCATGAGCAAAGCACAAACCGG